GTCTCTGTGCCCAGTTTATAAGTGAAACATTAGTCTGGGTGTCAGTGGGAAGTTTATTTTAGATAGTGATTAATATTTCAGTCAGTAAAGTTTGAGGAAAGTGGATTTTCCTCAGTAAGGAGAAAGGGCTTCAGATAATCTGGTAAAAGTCTTCAGAGCAGGGTCAGGGGTTCCCAAAGAGGAACTGATTGTATTAGCAGCATGGAACTTCTGACTTGCTGGCCTATCCTATAGACTTCAGTCTAGGACCACAGCATTCACCATTATCTAAATCTCCACCTCCACCTTCTGGCCAACTCCATAGATTCTGTGCTTGCCAGAATTTAAGGGTAAATGTATTTAAAAGTTTCTCTCTCTCTCTCTCTCTCTCTCTCTCTCTCTCTCTCTCTCTCTCTCTCTTTCTCTCTCTCTCTGAATACCTTTTGCTCTTGAATATCTGATATGTATTTCCCATTGGCTCTAGTTTTCTGGGAAAATAAAACCCACAAAACTCTGTCTAATATACCCAGGAGTCTTTCGAAGAATTTCACATGGTTGTGCCCTAGTATCCTTGGGGACTAGTTTCAAGACCTCCTTTCCTTTGAGTGTCTGCAGATGCCCAAATCTTTATGTTAAGGGTATAACATTTGCATATAACTTGTACATATCTCCCTGTATATTGTTGACACTGTTGGTTATACTTAATGCAATGCAAATGCTATGCAACTTATTGTTCTATTACTCAGAGGGTGATGACAAAAAGTGTGTGTGTTCAGTACAGATAGTTTATGTCCCCAGGCCACGGTGGGTTGACCTCATGGATATAGAACCAGCAGATAGAGAGGGCTGACTGGGATTACTTTTCTGTTACTTCTCTGCCTTCCCTTCTTTCCCAAGGGTTCTCAGAGCTCATTCTCTTCATCTTCCAGAAAGTTGGTTCTACAGCTCGCTCCCTGCAGGTGCTACAGTTAGAACACTTAAGAGCCATTGGATACTGGCACAAACTAGATGGTAGAGTGCATTCTGCAACAAGAACCTTTTTTCATTTTTCCTAAATGTGTTCTTCATGAATATCAAGGTCACTTACACGAACCACCTCTTTCATAACTGAGACCATAGATTTGCTGTTAAGTATCGTCAAATGCATGTGTAACTAAATGAAATAGCCTTGACTTATATCTGAAGTTGTAGTGTCAATGTGGGGCCCAGGGAAGCTTTCCCAGGGCAACTTGGTACACACTTGCCAAAGTGGGTTCTATAGATCAGTAGGAAGGTAGACCTGAGTCTCAGTTTGCCCTAGGGCAAGGCTAACCCTTAGACTCCCTCCTATTCCCATTTTACTTTGGGGCCTGTTCCTTGCCTTTTGCAGGAGACAACATTAATAATTAGATATCAATTTGTTCTGTGTTTATCCTCGGAATGACTAATTCAGTTTTTTTTATTAGCTTTAATTCAAAATCATTACAGAGTGTGGAGTTCTAGTCTTGTGAAAGCTGCTAACTTATTATAGACTGTTAGCAAATGCAAGTTAGTCAGGCATCCTTAAAGTACTGATATGATTAGTTACATGAATAAGCCTTATTTAGTTCCCCGTATATGTTTACAAAGTCAAACTTAGAACAAATAATGAGAAATAAAGTTTGTCTAATCAGACATACCTAGGCAGCCCTCATACTTCAGAGATCTGCAGAATATGGCATTTAAAGTAATGATTAAAAAGCATATTATATTTGACAGAGACTCCGAGATCCTAGCAGTAATCCAAGGTCTCCAAAGAAGATTATGAGACACCACGATGTCTCCACCTGGACTATGATGACGCTGACCACTGGGAAGATGCCCCAGGGCAACACCTGCTGCCAGGACCCGGGCCAGACTGTGGACAGACAGCAGGACCTTGGAGAATTGATTGCACCACCTTTGCCTAAACAAAATACAGCCAGTCTTTTCCATGTCCCTCTTCCACAGAAAAAGAAACATTCACCTTATGGGCCTGGCTTAGACAGTAAGACTGATGTTCTGGATACTTCTGCCTCCAATGCTATGGAGACCTGGGTATAACTATGGTCCCTGTCATTTTTAATAGATTTGGAAACTATTTGGTTTGTACTCAGATATACTTTATTCATTCTTCTGAGATCTCTGATAGTATTAATAGCTAGGGCAGTTATAATGTCAGTTTAACAGTGAAAGGTATCCAGATCCTTCCACAAAGCTATTGCCAACTTGTTAGCTCATTCTGAAGCTACCATACATAGTTCTCTGCACAGCAAAATAATATACATGCTTCTAATCAAAATTTGTAGTTTTTGATAGGACTCAAAGGTATGAGTCTAATCCTTCTGTTTACAGACACCTGTGATCTGCTCTTTTTCTAAATTTCAACTTCTGTTCCTAGTTTAAACTTATCTCAATAGGCTTCCACTTGGCTGGCAGATACATCTAAGCATCAGTTTCTGATTACATCCTGCTTTGAATGGTGGCGAGCCCTGGACTTCTGAAAGCTGGTGTGGACCAGTCCAGCTGATATGAACACTCCCTGTCCCTTCAAGAGAGTCTGATCCATTGCCTGAATTCCCTCTCTACCTTTGGCTAGCCTTTCAACCTGCTTGGGCCCTGATAACAATGCCCCAATGTCAGCTTGAAGTGGCTGTGGAAAGGAACATGTCATCCCACACTCCCTGCCCAGAATAGATTGAGCCTGAGTCTCAGTAGTTTACCCTGAAGCAATACCTGGTTGCAGGAAGAACTACAAATTGAGATTACCCGAGCATCACCCAGGAACAGACCATCTAAAGAAATGCCTAACATTCCAACCACTGTAGACAGGATCACCTTCCAGCACACATTCACCAGGACACTCCCAGACAAATGTCAGTCAATCAGGGGTCTTGGAGCTTAGAAACCTCTCGTCCCAACCTTTACTACTATAAAAACCCAACTCTAACTGAGCTCATGGCTCTCCATTTATTTCAATACATTGGACATGCAGAAAGACCGAGTTTTCAAACTTTCATAAAATAAAGGCTCTTTGCTTTTACATAAGGGACTCTGTCTCCTTGTTGGTTTTTGGGGGAGCTCACAGATTTGGGCATAATAGTCAGATGACCAGTTTTCCCAGTTTGGATAGCAGATAGCGGTTAAAATTGCCACCAGTTTCTGGTCACCTGATGAATTAAAGACAGTAGGGGAAATTTGGGAAGTGAAGAGATTTTATTCAGCATCTTTTGGTAACTCTTATGAGACTTTATCTTGTCTTTGCGCATACTCTGGATAAAACAAAATAAAACCCAGACCATATTTTCTTCTAAAACATATATTGGATCATTTAAATGAGAAATGAAATCTAAAGCACAATAATTATTTAAGCCATTTGTAAATGATACCCAAGCTGCCATGAGAAGGGATAGAAGGGATAGTGCTTGCCTCAGTTTGTACTGGCATTAGCTTTGTATCATGATGAAACAGATAATGTTAAGAAAAATCTGATGATTTCAAAGACCTTCGGTCCTTGCTTCTTTACTCAGTGTTATCATGATCCATTGGCTTGTTTACGATATGATATTGTGACTATTAACCACATTACCCACAATTGCTGCAGGCCACCAGGACTTGGTTAATATAATTAGAAAACTTTAAGTTATGATAAACATCATAAGCATTGACTGAAACGGCATGGACTAGACTACTTCTTAGAGCTTTAGAATTAAAGCTATGCTTTCTGTATATCAAAACAGCTTAAAAGGCCCTGACTTTCAGAAATGTGCTTCCTCTTATCCCATAATCCTTAGAGTATTTCCCTGGCAATTCAGCAAACCCTTAAAACTGAACAAAATTAGGATTTTGTGCTTCTATGTTTACAGAAAGAGTCTATCAGACTGACAAACTTGATAATCTTAAAAAAAAAAAAACTGTTCTTATTTCAAAGGTCCAGAAAATAAAGGTTATTTACTACATAGGCCGAGACTTCTTGTTAAGCTGTTTGTGAGATAGCAAATTAGAAAAGCATGCCAGAGTTAGCGGTTACTCAGGCACACTGACGCTGGGCCTTTCATTCCAGCAGTGCTCCTGTTCCTCAGATTATATCTGGTAATGTCCTAAAGTGTAAACACATTTCAGTTCAAAAAGATGCTCAGGTCTTAGACAGAAAATGGACAGAGCTTGCTGGGATGAGGCTAGCAGGTTTATCTCTCCACCTTTTTAGATGCCTGTGTTCAGGGCTGTTCTTGGTACCTTCAAACTCTAATATTTGAGGAACTAAAATTCTGAGGTAGAATGTTTTTTCCATTCTCCTGTGCACAATCCCATTAATCAAGGGGTGGTGCACTGGCCAGCGCTAAGGCCTGTCATTTGGGCAAAGTCATGGCGACAGGGCAAAGCTGAGCATATGCACGTGGAGCCTAATTTCACTCCCAGTGTGTCAAATGGAAGAGAAGACACACGTCATGAGGCACAAGGAGCAAAACATCCCCAACTCTCCAATAGAATCTGCACTTGCAAAGTAGAAGCTCCATCCATGTTCCTCAATAATTCAAGTAATAGTGGTGGTAAATCTTCCCCCCACTCAGTTCCTAAAGTATCATTATCTCCAGAACAGAATGGTGCCTACAAACTTAGAAATGGCAGTATCCCCTGAAGTGTGTTTCAGAGACAGAAGGGAACCCGTCTGGTAATGCTTTGAGGGTGTCCACATGGGTGGGCAAACATACGCCACTCTGAGCAGAGGAAGTGGTACGCCACAAGTTCTTCATAAGTGCGAGGTCTTTATAAACTCATCCGCATGGGGGCTGTTTTAAATAGAAAGAAAATGACACACAGTCCCCAAGCAGGCTTCCTAACCATTTGAAGAGGGCTGCCACTTTCCCAAAACATTAGGTTACTGTGGGGGAACTTTCCAAAATTGTCAACAATTCCATTTTTAAACTCAGTTCTTCCTCCCAACCCAAGACAGATGCCGTACAGCCCAGAGCATGTTTGGTCTGGTAGGAGACGGGAATTATTTTTACTCTGCTGACTCCTACCTGACAGTGGAAGACATACTCTGGTGTGGTTTTCTTGAACTTCATGTTCCAAACCAAGGCCACTCCATCTGGTTCATGAGGAGCGTCTTCATTGTTGTTGTAGGAAGCCACCATCAGCTCGGGGTACTGAATGAAAGAGGTTACAAGGATTCATTACGTTCAGATGATGCTGTAGGGGTCTTCTCCTGCTGCTCCTGCATCTCTGTCGTCTACATGCGCTATCAGTCTACATCACCACAGCTACCTCGTGAGAAATTTCTCATCCCATATCTGTGCTGTGGTACACATCTCAAGCGGTCCTATTTACTTTAGTTTTGGCACATTTAATAACAAATCAATATGCCCTGCTCTCCTGTCTTTCACATTTGTGTGTGCATGTGTGGTTACCAAACTGGAAACATGTTGAAACCCTATAGATTCAATCACTTTGGCCTACCTTTCTTCCATATTGGTTTCCATGACAACTTTCTGTTCTGATTTTCTTTTTTTACTACTTTGTAAAACCCATGCAGATGCTCCTTTTGTCACACATTCCTAGACATGGCTCTTTTTTCACTTCTTGTCTTTTTCCTTTAATTTTTTTTCCTTCTTTCTAGGTGATCCTGTCAATCCCAATGGCTTTTAAAATCTTAATATGCTGATAATTTCCAAATTTCTCATAGGTTTGATATTTCTCAGGGATGTAGATATCAGTATTTAACTGTCCACCAGGGTTTGCTCAGGACCTCAGGAAACTTAGCAGTACCAGGAGCAGCCCAGAGAGAATATTCTGATAGGCTTTCTGACAAAGGTACTGCTTGCCCAGTGCTCCCTACCTGGTGTTCACCTTACTGGTGAAACCAGATATTCTATTTTCATCATTACTTCGTCCTTTCTCTCCACCCACATTCTGTCTATCACTAAGTACCACATACATTTCGAACCTACATTTAGTTTTCATTCTTTTTTTTTCTTTTTCTTTTTCAAGACAAGGTTTCTCCGTAGCTTTGGAGCCTGTCCAGGAACTCACTCTGTAGATCAGGCTGGCTTTGAACTTACAGAGCTGTCTACCTCTGCCTCCTTAGTGCTAGGATTAAAGGTGTGGACCACCACCATCCGCTTTTGTTTTCATTCTTAAGGGCAGAGATAACCTAAATGAATTTCCTGTCTGATGAGGAAGGGTAACGAGACTTCTCTATAGTGCCTGTGTTGGACTTCCCACAGCCTATGCCCACCTACATCCTGTGTCAGGACAAATTTGTAAAGTACACATTTGGTAAGTTACCCTTGGTTTGACAATTGGTGGTTGATCATGGCTTTCAAGGAAAAACCCACAATGTGTAGAATCCTTTCTGGTATGCCTTTCTCTATTGCTCCTGTTTAAGATCTTGTGACCTTTTCTTTCACCCATGAACACTCTCTACCCATGACGTACAGGTTTTATCTCTGTATCTAGGATTCTGATCTCATGCTCACTGGAAAATCCTTCCGTGTTACTTATTAACTCACCTTTGAGACTGAGTGAAGATATAAGTCCTCTAGACAATCCTAACCATTTATCTCTCCCTTGTTTCTTAGCACCCTTATGTTTTATGCCCCTCTTAAAGCACTTGTTCAATTGCTTTATGTTCCTTTCTCACTGTGTATGTCTTTAAATCACAAGTTACTTGAGTATTAAACCAGGGTGTTTTGTTGTTATTGTTGTTTTATCTCTGAACCCATAGTTAAATGACTCCCAGCATATAATGTGATAAGGTAAAAAAATGTATTGAATAATTATAATTTTTATTTTAGAAACTCTTTTATTTCAGTAACTCTGGAATTGCATAAATATTATTTCCTTTGTTATGAAACACACAGTAATTAAATTCATTGATATAAGAGGCACAATCAGACAACAATGAGGAAAGCTCTAAAGCAATGGTTCTTAATCTATGGGTCACGACCCTGATGGAAAAACTTCTGTCTCCAAAAATATTTAGATTATGATTCATAACAGTACCAAAATTACAGCTATGAAGTATCAATAAAGATGATTTTATGGTTGGGGTCAGCACAGCATGAGGCACTGTATTAAAGGGTAGCAGGATCAGGAGGGTTGAGAACCACTGCTCTAAAGGCATGTTGAAAATATCTTCTTGCCCTACATGAATTCTGCTTTGAGTGTGATCAAATTAAGAGAATGAGACTCGTGAGTGATGTCTCAGTTAGAACACATATCGCACAAATGCCATTCTCACCTGGGCTTCTCGTTAGAGTCTCTGTTACACAACAGAATTATTACAGCTCCTAAGAAACTCTTCTCAGACATTATCTAGTTTTCTCTTCCTGTTAGCTATGCTATGTATATATTCAAATTGAACAATACTCATATAAATGTGAGTGTTGACTTTTCCTTCATATGAACCATAATTAAACCTAAGTCTTCGATGTGGCTTTATTCATTCTTTCAGCTACAGAGAGTTATAGCTCACTGGTTGCTTCAGAGGAGGAATAGGCCTACAACACACATGGATGTGGCCACCAAGGGAAGTCATCATTCTTTATTAGAAAATGCGCCTTAGCAGATGAATCAAAGCCTATTAAGCAAGGCCTTTGATTCAGAGCCCATTCAATGACACTAACATCCAGATAAACACACAAGTCTCCAGACTGCCCATCTGAAGTTTAACTATGTCACATGTGAAAAGGCAAGTCTATAAACACCGACACCACCACCGCAGGGGCCAGAGAGCAGCCAGATGTGTCTGGAGTAGCATCCCACAGCTTCACATCTGGGTCTCATCGTTCACACCCACTTGCAGATTTTCTTCTTCTTTTTTTTTCCATCTAAAAATATTTTAACTTGTTTGGCTTTTAAGTTTCTGTAGCAAACAGGCCGTGAGCTAGTGAAAACACCAGGACAATGCCTTTGGCAAAGTTTCCTATAATAGGGATTACAAGGTGCAGAGGGACTGACTTATATCTTATCTCATGCAGACTGCTATAAAGGTTTCCTCTTTTATGTCTTTTTAAAAGGCTATTTGTTTGAGCATGACTGGTCATATTTACTCCTTATCAAGTTTCCAAGCAATTATGGAAATTTAAATGTTTAATATTATGCTTTTAACAATTGTGAAATTTCTGCTTATTTAATTACTCATAAGGACTGGATTAACCTATATTTAACTTAGAGAAATTTTACCCAGAAATTACTAGCTTTACTCTCAAGTCTAGGTCTTCAAGAGAAACACAATCTAACATTTCCTATAGAGAAAGAGGCAGCATGTTTTAAGTGGGCCTTATGTTTCAGTCATTGAACTGGGCAATGTCTTCATTTACTTGTTACTCATGATTGTATAAAGAAGGTAATGGTTTACTCATTTCTATAGACAAGGAAGATGAACCCTTGGGAAGTGACAGGTTCCAAGTCATATTGCTCATGCATGACAAAGTAAGGAACCCTGTGGAGGCCAGTTGAGCTCAAAGGGCGACATCCCCTTCTGCCCACTGTGGCTTTGTGTCCAGTGCTGTCTGTACATAAAGAAAAGGTGGCATCAGATGCAACATGAGACAAGAATATTCATGTTAACATAGTCTGTCTATGGGAGCCCACCTATGGCTAGTGCAAAATAAGACACAATGGAGGAAGAACATCAGCTCAGACACTAAAGTGGAACGGTGTGTGTGAGGAGCGCAGTGCCGTCAAGGTTCTGTAGAAGCGTGGGCCTGTGCTGAGGGTGGCACGGTGAAAAGCTACACTTGTTAGGGGTGGGGGCTTCAGGGAGACAGCTGGTGGGGACATCTGAGAAGCAGCAGTGGTAACTTGTGGGCTTTAAGGAGACAAGGGAGATTGCCAGCTGCGGTAGGAGGAAGGTTGGTGAGGAAATTTTTACTGAATCTGACTGACCCACAGGACCCTCTGTTGGCAATTGTTCCACAACACAGAGATGCCCAGTGTCCCAGAGATGACGAAGAGCAGAGCTGATACTTGGCCAAAACAACCTAACGGTGTTCTCTAACTTAGATGCACATTTTGAATGGGACCATGTTTTATTGGTGAGGTTCCTCAAACTGCTCCCATGGTTGTTTCCTTCTCTGAGTTGTAGGTCTTTACCTCTTCCATGGATTCCCTGTTTACTTTATTAGCTTGCCAATAAGCTCCCCCTTTTTACTTAATCTAGCCAGAAGTAAAATTTTATTAAAAATTATTATTATTAAAGAAGAAAATGTTCAAAGAGCATTAATTTATAGGTTTTGTGATGAGAGGGTGAGAAATACTCAGGGCGTTTTCACAGAAGTTTCTGAGCCCAAACATTTTTGAAATTTACTCTGGGGAGCGGAGAGCAGGGGTTATTTTTGTTGAATATTAATGCCATTATGATCACTACTCTAACAACTATGTCATACTTACTGAGTGCTTCCTATGTTCCAGACACTGAAACACCAGTCAACTAGAGATAATGGTTTATTTAATACCCACAGAAAGCATGAAAGTTCGGTATCATCATTTATCAACACTTCATGGGCAAGAAAGTTCAAGCCAGTAGAAGTTGGGAAATTTGCAAAACATGTAACTATACAAAAAGTACAAGAGAGTGAAATCAAAGTGATCCAAATAGGAAAATAAGTTAAATTATCCCTATTTGCAGATGATATAATATTTTACACAAGAGATACCAAAAATTCTAACAGAAAACTTCTAGATATTATCAATAAATTGAGCAAAGTGTCAGAATTAAGAGTTAGTTTACCAAAAATCAGTAGCCTTTCTATATGACAATAATAAATATGTTATGAAGGAGATCATACATATACTCCTATCCATACTAGTTTTAAAAATATTAAGTAATAAAGTTAACCAAGGAGATAAAAGATTTTGTGGTGGTTTGAAAAAAAAAACCCCAAAGGGAGTGGCATGATTTGGAAGTGTGGCCTTGTTGGAGGAAGTGTTTCACTGTGGGGGCAGGCTTTGAGGTCTCTTTTTCTCATGCTTGCCTCAGTGTGACAGGGGAGTCGATTTCTTGTTGCCTGCAAGATGTAGCACTCTTAGCTTCAGCATATCTGCCTGTGTGTTCCCATGTTCCCCTTCATGATCATAACAGACTGAATCTCTGAAACTGTAAGCAAACTATCCTCAATTAAATGTTTTCTTGATAAGAGTTGCT